AGCGCAAGATGAAGGAAAGGGAAGATACTGTTCCAAGAAAACCGAAAGCAATGATGGCACAAGGCCGTAAAAAGAAATTTAACTGCCACTACTGCGGTAGAGCCCGGGCATTTTAGACGAAACTGCAGGAAACTGGTTCCTGACAATGAGAAGAAGGAGAAGCCCGCACCACAGAGAAAGATAAACACAGAGTGAATAAAGCTTCATCTCGAAAACACGAAGAGAATAGCGAAAGCAGTGATTGTGATGCCCTAGTTGCATTCCATGCCCTCTCGGCTAATTCTAGAAGCAACTGGATCGTAGATTCAGGCGCAATATGCCATTATGTGCAACAACAGAAAAAAAAGTTTGCCACATTTGGAAGCTTCAAGAAAACTCAAGAAGTAACTCTTGGTGATGGGCATGTGCTAGAAGGTACTGGAGAAGGAACTGTGCAAATAAAAATGAAACTTCCAGATGGAAAATTTAGAAGGTGTAACCTACGCAACGTCCTGTTTGTACCGAGGCTTTCATACAACTTTCTCAGCGTATCAAAAGCAACAGAGGCTGGAAGAACAACCATATTTGATAAGATTAGTTGCCAAATACTCAGCAGTGACATGAATGTCATAGCGGTAGCAAAGAGAGTTGGAAATCTGTACTACCTGGAATGTAAGGAAAATCAAAGTCTGTGTGCTGCAGTTCAGACTCAGAGCAAGGAAAGTCTCTGGCATCGCCATTTTGGAGAGCATAGCCTAACAAAATTGGCAAAATGTGTACTCATCACGAATATTGACTACGACTATTCCAAGGAAATCGGTTTTTGCGAAACCTGTATCAGGGGTAAGCACCAGAGAAGCAAATTTCCAACAAGCAACACTAGATGTAAAGAACCACTCGGTTTGGTTCATAGTGATGTTTGCGGAAAGATGAGCATAGAATCTCTTGGAGGAGCGGAGTATTTCCTTACATTTATTGACGACTCCACTCGTTATGCGTGGATCTATCCACTAAAACACAAAAATGAAGTGTTTGCTAGCTTCCTGGAATGGAAGGCCACAGTGGAAAAATCCTCCGGAAAAAAGTTGAAGTCCTTCGAACTGACTACGTCCACCAAGTTTGAGGACTACCTCAAAGCAGAGGGAGTGCATCATGAACGGACAGTACCAAAGACACCCGAACAAAATGGTGTGGCGGAAAGACTAAATCGAACACTTGTGGAAATGACCCGTTCAATTTTATTACACTCGAAACTCCCACACAACTTTTGGGCCGAGGCACTTGCTACAGCGGCCTATATAAGAAATAGATGCCCAACAAAGGCCGTTGATAGCATGACTTCGTACGAAGCATGGACAAGTTTGAAACCGACCGTGAATCATTTTCGCGTTATGGGTGTGCTCGTGCACATCCCAAAGGACGAAAGACACAAGCTCGACTCCAAAAGCAAGATGTGCATTTTTCTAGGGTACGGAGAACAAACCAAGGGGTATCGGCTATGTGACCCAGAAAAAAATACTTTATAGCCGGGATGTCAAGTTGAATGAAAAAGAAAAGGAAGCTAAAGATAGCTCTGACCAAGATATTGATGGTCGCATTGAGCTAGATATTTCAGACAACACAGGAGAAAGTGATGAGCCTCAGATATAAACTGCCAACGAAAACTGTGAAATGGCTCCTAGAACGAAGAAAACCTCCAGACTTCTACGGAATCAGGGTAAATGTGAGCAGTGAAAAACCATGCGAACCAGCAACAATAGAAGAAGCAACCAACTGTTCAGAAAAAACTGAGTGGATGCAGGCTATGGAAAATAAAATGAAATCGCTTAAACAAAATAACGTTTGGGAACTGGTGGAATTACCAAGTGGTAGGAAAACAGTAGGAAGCAAATTGGTCTACAAAGTTAAAACTGGGGTAGATGGATCAGTTGAATGCTATTGGTTGCCCAAGGGTACACACAAAAGTTTGGGACAGACTATGACGAAATGTTTTGTCCAGTCGTCAGAATGGAATCACTCCGAGCCCTAATAGCTTTGTCGGTTCAATTTGGTCTACAGCTGCATCAAGTAGATGTAACCACAGCTCTCTTGAATGGAGAGCTTGAGGAGGAGGTGTACATGCAACAACCAAAGGGTTTCGTTCATACAGGAAAAGAACACCTACTGCATAAGCTTAGAAAGAGGGCTCAAGCAGTCTCCTCGCTGTTGGAATTCCGCTCTCGACAAACAGCTTAAAGAAATGGGTTTGTGCAGTCGACTAGTGATCCATGTATATACGCTGATGCAGGAGGAGAACATTCTTTATTGGGGTCAACTATCTTCGAGGACAATCAATCGGCTATATGCATGACTAATAATCCACAATTTCATGGACGAGCAAAGCATATCTCAATAAAATATCACTTCATCCGCGAGCAAGTAAAGAATGGAAACATCGAACTCAGATATTGTCCATCAAAGAAATGTTAGCCAACATGTTCACAAAAGGGCTGAGTCGTGAACAGTGTTGCAAGCTAAGATCAAAAGCCGGAATGGTGGAACCTCATCACACCTAAAGTGAGGAGGAGTGATGGAAAAGAACACTTTAGTGTGTTGTATTGGACACTAGGTAGTTGTGCACCGTTATGCACCATTGTTTTCTAACCAATGATTATATTTTGTCACGTTGGTTCTGTGAACAAGCCTACTCATTGTGTATGTCTAGACAAGCCTGCTCTTTGTCTATGCCTAGCCTCATCATTGTTCCTTTGTTTCTGTCTTTTCTCTTTGGTCTTCCTTTAAAACCTCTTTGTTTTGTATCAATGCACCTTTGTTCTTTAGCCAGAGGCCCGCTCTCTCAGTCTGTATATAAGCCATGCATCTTAACAGTACAGTATGATCTTGCAATCATCATAATCGTTGGATTGTTCCTTTGGACAGCACTGTTAGCTCTGCGCGAGTGTAGAACGACGCTCAATTCTCAACATTGAGATGGAGAACTAAGAACCCAATCTCATTGAGATGGACAACTCAGAACCCAATCTCATCTAGTGAGATGGAAAACTCAGAACCCAATCTCATCTACTGAAATTGATAACTCAGAACCGATTCGATCTTCTATTGAGATGGAAAACTCAGAACCCAATCTCTTGAGAACTCAGAACCCAATCTCATCTACTGAGATGGAGAACTAAAAACCCAAACTCATATATTGAGATGGAGAACTCAGAACTCAATCTCATCTAGTGAGATTGAGATGGAAAACTCAGAACCCAATCTTATTCTATTGAGATTGAAAACTCAGAACCCAATCTTTTCTATTGAGATGGAGAACTATCTTATCTATTGAGATATAAAACTCAGAACCAAATGTCATCTATTGAGATGGAGAACCAAATCCCCCAATCCATTTGTTGCGAATATGAGCACTCATAGCTAACTTACCTTTAATTCCTCGGGAGTATGAAATATATTTGTGCACAATTACACGTAGCTGACGCAGCAGTTGCAAGTGATACGCAAAATCGTCTAAAAGGACCACTAACTGTGGCCCAAAAACATGTCGCAACTTATTTCTCAGTGAGCAGCAATTGTCTATGTAAAATTCAGAAACGCACTTTTCCTTGTTGCTTAAAGAAGAAGAAGGAGAAGAAGTAGGCGAAGGCATGGCATTCTTGGCGAGCCATCATAGAAGCGCGCTTTCCTGACGCATGCGCAGGTAGAAATGTGGAAATGTTTCGGCGTAAAGAAGCCGCGCATGCGCACTTACACGACGTACGAGGTCGTAATTAGTAGGCGATGCATGGCGGCGGAGCGAGCACACAATGACTGTATCTGCACGAGCCATTCTAGCATATTTACAACTTGAAACTTAGAACCACGAAGATTGGAAATAAATATAGACAGCCTCGGTCAGGTATCAAAGAGCGCAGCGAATGCCAGCGAATAAAAAGGAGTTCTTCGCTGCTAGATATCGCATCGATATGACAGCTAGGCAGCGTGTAAAAATTTGCGCGTTCCCTATCACGCAAGCGACGCTGATACAGACGAGCCTCTCTCTGCTCAGGAGTCTCACGGGCACGACGTTCTCTTTCCCTCTCTCTTCGATGACGAAGGGCATCTTCTCTGGACTGGTCCATGATTGTGAGAGTACAGAGCTACACACACGCGTATATACGCACGACATTATGACAGGCATGCAGTGAAAATAGCGCGTATCCTGGAGCATGCGCAGTTGGACGACGTACGGTCGTAGATATCCGCGCCGTTTGGACCCTTAGGTTAGCTCGCTCCCGCTCGCCAATTATGATGGCACGAAAATCGGCGTATGAGCGAATTCTCGCGTGGACGACAGAAGGTGAGTATGAGGTCTTTGGGAACATGTGTAGGTAGATATAGGCCAGTAGACTATTGCTGTGTTTTGAAGGCCTAGGTGAGTCATTCTCACCGAGTTTTTAGTCGTTTTGTACTCGGATCACGTGAGATTTCACCAGCGCTATCCCTATATAATTATATATAGCTAGAGAGTCTACCGACCCTCTAATAAATAACAAGAGAAAATCCGCATCGAACGAACGAGTAGGTTGGCTCGCTCCCGCTCGCCAATAAACTCTTTAGCACTCTAAAATCATTCATAAAAAATTACAGTTGTTGTAAAATAAATCAAGGTTTACATATTTGAATATTCTTCAAATGTTTGGTTTCTAAGTCCAGTCGCAAAATCTTCTTCCACCTTGGGCTCCTTCACTCTTGGAATACTGTATGGAGGCATAATTACAAAATAGGGCTAGCTATACATGTATACGCAAAGATTGAAAAGTTCATTCCAAAGTGTCAGATATCTGTCTTAAACTGTGACAGGTCAGTAAATGGCATGGGTATGGGTAGATAATCATGTTTATAGTGCCTAGTAGTTAACCCACGTTTGTGTCAGCAGCTAGTTAAGTTGTGTTAATCATACTAGGTTTTGAAAAGCAATCAGCTGTGTTTCCTTAATAAGAAGGGGAAAAGATGGGGTCAAAGTCAAAGATGGGGAAAGACTTTCACTCGTTGAAAGCTATTTTGAACTGATTCAATGCAGATTCCAATTTCCCCACATCAGTAGCATTAATTGTGGCCTAGTGCCTCTAAGCTAACAAAAATGCAAGATATGGTCAGGTCTGTGTGCCCAACAACCATGCATGGTGCTGGATGTGACCAGGTCCATGTGCAACATGAACACACTACAAAAAGGAGAGTATACCATTTCCATCCAATAAGGAATAGTATGATGACGGCAAGGACAATGGTAATCAACACCCCTGCCACAAATCCTCCGACCACACCTCCTCCAACCCCTGCAGAGTTGGCTGAGGATGATGCAGACTGGCCGCAGTCACTCGACCTCGCAGCCTCCAGTTCCTGACGACCTGGGGACATTGGCAGCCAAAGTAAACGTGAGACAAAAGACAGTTTTAGTTGGCGAGCGAAGCTAACCGACCTACATAGTTGTCTGATCATAACACATTACACAGACAATGTGGAGTATGGGCACAATAGAGTCATCTCTAGCAACCAGGAGTGTCCAAGGTCAGGAAGAAGGAGTGTTTGATTAACTAACTGTAGCCGATTTGTGGGGAATGATAAAAAGCAAGTAATTTTCCGCTAGGAATCATCAGGTGTCTTAAATGCTGAGGCAGAAGTCTAGTAGGACTTTAGACAATTTTAAAGCAGTTCACGGTGCTCATGGATGTCACAATTCCCACAGGGGCCATCGAAACTGTATAAGCTAACTATATACCATCATGTGGCTGAAGAATAATATTCTTCTGTTTGCGTGGAATGCTACCTCCAGGTTTAGTGCTAATTCATTTGCTGCAAACATGCACTTTTCTTTAATTATTGCATCACTCACATGCACTGTCATCGTCAGTTATGGTGATGAGAGTAGTTGCGCCATTGTTGGAGGATGGGATTGCACGACTGCTGGTGTCGGTAGCAGAGAGCTGGACTGTCTCATCACTCTCCAGCACTCCGTCCTTGATGACTGAGAGGGTAAGTGGCGAGCAGGCACCGGGCTTGAACCCAGCTTCCATCAGGACACTCTCACTCACTCTCTCGTAATCCTCTCCCTCTGATTGGCAGGGGCAACAATAGCATATACTTAACAACAACGTCATCAGCATAACCTCAGCAGCAGAATATTAGTAAGGTTAACTGTGTTTGAAAATTCTGTTTATATGGAATGAAATCTCTTGTGCAGTTTGTTTCCTCATGTGTCTTCACAAGGAGTGGGATGCATACCGACTGTTTGTACATGCTACATCTCTGTGCATGCAAGTAGGTTTGCCCTATCCTTAGTGCTGACTTTATGAGGCCATACCAATTCAATCACATTTTAAAAGGATGGGTTGTGGAGTAGAAACACATAAAAATTTCGCGTATTTAGATCATGTATTAGAGAGTCGGTAGACTCTCTATATATAGGGATGACGCGGATGAAATCTCACGTGATCGGCATACAAAACGACTAAAAACTTTTTTTTTCGCGCCACTAAAGATGTAATGAACAAAAAGCAAACAAAACAAAGCAAAAACAAAAAACAAAGAAAAAAACATGACAAAACAAAACAGAGACAGAACACGACAAACAAAACGAAACAAAAACAAAAAAAGTTAAATGTTACCATCCACCCGGGCAGAGTGGGGTGGAAGGCGGCGAGCCCACAAGGTAGCGTTTCCTCTCCAAAGGCAGATGGAGAGTATCTGGAAAAGGTGCCTCACAGTTTCTGCGGGGTTGGTGCCGAGCCTCTTCCCAACAAGGCGGGCAATCTTGGAAATAATATGTAAAACTGCCTCCTGACTCCAGCCTCCCAGCGTCTCCACCACCAGTGGAACAAATGCCACACCGGCAGCTTGGCACTGTGCATTATGGGCGGTCTCTTCGCCGACTTTCAGAGCGTGTCCCCTATCAGAGGCTGCACCTGTCTGGGTAAGAGGTTGCATGGTGGAGATCACAGTCACGTCCAGGCCTGCGGGGCGTCCCCTACACCAGTTAGGGAGAAAGATATCCGCTGGACGCGACCTGGTTCCTGGGATCAAAGAGGGGACCTCTTTACGTGGTGCAAGAGCCGCAGATTGAGCAGCAGAAAACAGCGCATCTCGTAGAGCATCGTGCCGGTGAATTCGGTCGCCGTTACCCCAACCCAACTTGATGTCACCTAACGGATCAGCATCGATGACTTGCACATGCGGGACAGGAGCTGTCTTCCATTGTGATTCTTAGGCCCAGCCAATAGTTGAGGGCAACAAAGCCTGGGGAACTCTTGGTCCAGCAGACAAAGACCCAAAGCTGGCCGGGTGACATTCAACCAGTCCCCGCATGGGGCAGGGAGGAGGAAAGGGCGAGGGCTTGGACCTAACATCAGGGGCAGATTCAGCCAGAGTGTAAAAGCAGGTCTCATCAATCAGGCGGAGAGAGACTTCTGATCAAGAGGCACATCGATGTCTTCTACGCAGCGCCAGGAAGACATCTGTACTGCCTTGGCTAGGAGGAAATGGCTGAGGGCAGAGAGAGTGGGGTGTTCGGAGTGTAGCCCAGAATTAGGGAGACAAGACCAAGGGTTTCGGCGATGGAGCTGATGTAAGCTGCAGGTGCATGCAGAACAGCAGACCGAAGGTTCAGACCCCCTAGCGAACAGGGAAGAGGCTCAGCCATGCCCAATCGGACAGGAGGCCTCCAGTAATGTCTTCCAGGGCTTCCTGTACTGAGTGTCAAATAGAGATGATGCAGCTTTCTTGATGGACAGACGGGACATTGTCCTAAGGGAAAAAGTGAAATTGGCAGGGAGAGGCAGACCCTCAGAGAGGTAGTCGACTTTGTGAATTTCGATGTCCCCCAACTCGCCAGGGCACTCTGTATTTTGCAACCTGCCAAGAACGGCGCCTCCCGAAACGGGTCGGGAACCGACCGAGGAGACACGAAGCCCGAGATGGTAATCAGAATCTCACGAGGGGATTTAGCATGAGGTCTTCCCTGGGGGATATATGAGGCAGGAGACTGGGACGATTGAGTGCCCAAACTCTTGCAGGACCCTCCTCTTCGAGGATCTCGAGAGCCCTCTCAAGGTCCTCAGGGGAGCCCCATCATTGGTGAGAATCACTTCCTAGCACACTAGCAATAGTCTACGGGCCCATATCACCTATACATACTTGCAAAGACCTCATACGCACCTCCACGCAAGAATTCGCTCATACTCCTCTTCTTAGAGCCCGCTGTTCTCCTTACTGGACACAAGTAGAGCGCGGATTTTCACTGACGTTTCCAATTCGCCGGAGGTGTGCACGGATATCACGCGCTCGTTTCTCTTGCCTCTAGTCACTATGGTAGATCATGGAGCTCTTCCATAGTCACACTGAACAACGCCATTTGCTGCTAACTCAGCATCTGTGAGCCGCGCGCATGCGCCAGGCAGGGACGTTGTCCAATGCGCTTCCGAGCGTATTACCAGGCGAGTTGGCAGACCTGCAGAGGAACTCTCAGCCTCCAGTACCTTCTGTAAGTAAATGTGCACATTTCAAACTGGCTAGCTTGCTGTTGATTTGCACGAAGAGCAACTTGCCACAGTCTGCGCGGTGTTACGCGAGCCTTGCGGGGGCGCTCGGTCAAATGGGCCTTCATTGTTTGTCCCTCGTGTGTAGCCTGATTACCAAGGCCTGCCCATGAAACCACAACCATGTGCAATAATCTAATTACATCCTTGTTAACATGAGGTGAATGCGGTATCAAGCCCCAGCTTCAGGCACTAGCAGCCCATTAGCTACTACTTTCAACAGTTACAATTTGTCTATGGTAGCCTATCTACAAAATACCCATGAACATCAGTGTGACTGTAACAATAAATGCAGTGTTGTCATAAGCTGTTAAAAATAGTGGAAACAAGTGGAAAAATCATTTGAAAGGGGGATATAGGGATGGCTTGAAGCACCAAAAAGGAAGAAACAAGGGGTCATTACACAGCAAAGTTACACAAAGCTACATGACACCATCCCTATATCTTGTTTTATTGGAAAGTTTAATATCGAACAAAGATATAGGGATGGTGTCATGTAGCTTTGTGCAACTTCGCTGTGTAATGACCCCCTTGTTTCTTCCTTTGTGGTGCTTCAAGCCATCCCTATATCCCCTTCATTTTGAAGAAATGATTTTTCCACTTGTATACCAGTGGCAGAGATGGGTATGCTGGTGACGGAGATTTCAACTGGGAAGGTGAGAGTTCCACTCTCAGGTACGAGGCACAAATGAACAGCCAGTGATTCAGAGTCCTCCACCACCTTATACTCTGGGTTCTCCCAGCCATATATCACATCTGTGTATTAGAGCACGATAAGAACACTACCTACAACACAGGATCACATAGCAGAGATATAATTATTATGTACAAAAAGCGATATGTTTAGAGGGAATGCGAGAGCACACAAAGGCTAACTTTTGAAATATTCACTATAACAATGAATGCACTAAAGTGCAAACCTTCGGCGAACTGCGCATGCGCGATACTGCAAATGATGGGCTGGGCATATTGTACTTCGCGGTCTTCGCGCTAGTAGCCAGCAGAGAGTCTGACACAGGCAAGTTTAAGTAGTAGATAGCATGCGGGAGTGGATACATGCCATTCTTCCTGAGCCCCCAAGGTACACAGAGTGAGCGGATCAGGTCGTGGTAAGCCCAGTGCTATTATGCATATTGGCTTTTTCGCTTGGTTTTACGGCATATCTCTCGAACGCAGTCGTTTCGGGAAATTCGCCTTTTACTTTTCAGGCTGGCGTAGTTCTGAAGCCGTTGGTATCGCTAAGGGCACCTCGTAGCTGTGTGCAGAATAAGCGTCGACACACACAGACAGACAGACAGTAACCCTCGCTGCGCATGCGCGCCGAGGGTTAACAAGGCCCTATTATTTCGGTCCATTTTTAGTAGCATTTCTAAATTTAGCCCTTATGTATGTACTGTCAACTTAAGAGAGAATGCATGTGCGTATTTTTTACTACCTAGTTACACACATTATGGAAATAAACTACAAGACGGAGTGGTTAGCAATTGCTCTAACGAAAACTTTTATGTGTGTTGTATTCAGAGCTTTTAAAAATTTGTTTCGCTATACACTATTACTTACAATCATTATCGGTGACAATGATAGAAGCTGTGTTGCTGACAAGGCTGATCCTGGATGAGCTCTGGAGAAAGCCAGCCATCAGTGCCACGCTCTCATCTCCCTCCACCAGTAGATCATCAGTGACTGTGATGGCCCCACACTTCGAACGAGGGCCTCTGACACCAGCAGGGAAGGCCAGTTGGAACTGAGTCGACTCATAATCTGATACTACAAAGAAGTAAGCGTTAAAGAAAAGATAGCTACAGTGAAACCACCAAAAAGACCCTTTGACCTTTGCCAGCCCAATACTAGTGTATTTTACTACATTATTACCTCCATACAAAGGAGGACACTCCCTTTTTTGTGAGGGTTTCACTGAACGATTACAACTATTGGTAGCATAGTACGAAAGAACCCCTATTAAGCTCGCTAGTCACAAATTGTCTCTATGGCAGTTACCAGATGCATTGGTTCCTGTTGGAGTGGTCCTGACATTGACCTGGATCTCTTCCCCCAGTTCCCCATTCATCTGTTCCACACACACCTCAACCCGACCAATGTCTTCACTGACTCTGGATGGACTCACAATCCTGAAATTCACCACTGTCGGACGAGAAACAAGCACAAACATTTTATTAAATCCAGTAAATCATGGAAAAAATGCCGGCTTAGCTATACCACTTTTTTGTGTGGACGGTCACAATTAATGCAATGCAACATACTTTCACTGTCAGCAATGGAGACTGTAGTTTCTGACAATGATGGGTCAATGGCGATGAGAGATGTAGCCTCCACAGTAGAAGCTTGCAGAGTGAATGTTTCAGTTCCCTCAATGACATCGTCATCCAGTATAGTCACGTTAATACACTGCATGTCTCCACTGGTAGAACCACTAGGAAATACCACAACTGTGTCCAACATTGCATAGTCCAATGAGGCTGCAAGTGGGTAAATGTAGAGAGAATGACTGGGACACGTTTTGTCACATATTTAATTACCAAATGTGCACCCGAGTGCACTACAAACGCGTACTGGTTGGTAAAGTGCATGTTTGTATATGGTGTACTGTTAGAGTTTCCAAACTGCACTCAAGTGTACTTTAGAGCATTTGCTTAAAATCGATGAAGCGCTATTGAGAGAAACTGGAGGTATATTTATCTTTCGTTAAGGACACACAATGTAATGTACCTCTTTTATGACAGGATAGAAAACACTAATCAGATAGTAGCTATCACAGCGGCTCACAGAAGGTGTGCACAATTGACTAAAATAGTGTGGATGTTCACTGTGTCCGCATTATTAGCCCTGGTTCAGTCTACGTATCGCTTTCACAGCCATGTACTTTCTTCACTGTGTTGTGTGTCTATTTGCGCATGAAGTATGCATACTGCCGCAAGACAACTGCACACAAGTTACTTACTATGGCAATTATAATACACTCATAATAGAATTCATTGAAGCACATGACTTACCTTCTGCTGTTCCAGGAACAGTTGTAATTCTGACGAGACTAGCTTGAGAGAGTGTGTCCAGCCCAAACACTTCAAGACACACTGCCAGCAGTCCAACTCCTTCTTCAGCAGTGTATTCCAAGACAGCAAAACCAGCATTAATCTCTGCAATAAGAGTGAGTGATGTCCAGCATTTCCATCAAAGGCATTCCATTCCCTTGTATAGAACACTTAGCCCTTATGTATTGAAAAACTAAAAGGTGATGTAATATGTGAGCACGTAAACGCCAGCATAGAAAAGCTTTCTTGACCATGTTAATTATTCCGCACATCCTGCTCACGCCATACTGAAAGAATGGTGAAGAGTGCTAGTCAGAAAGGGAGGAAGAAAGGTGAAAAGTAAAGAAAAATCAGCTCTACCAGTGGAAATCGAACCCCCAACCTCTTGCTTCCCAGGCAAGTGCACTACCACTGTGCATTGAACAACCAAAAACATTTGATGCAATGTTTCATTTTTCTTTTTATTTGTAGTTATATATGATAAGAGTACAAACAATGATTTTAGCAAAGTGGGAGATAAAATCTCACCAAAGTCATTGTCAATGATGGCAACAGATAGTGTGTCTTGTCCAGCCACAGGTATAGCTGAAGCTGTAGAGTCAGTTACCGTGACCAAGAACTGTTCACTGCCTTCAACCAGCGAGTCATCTACTATCTCAACAGAGAATCTCAAACTGTCCCCGGACGTCGAACCAGCAGCAAATACGAGTGGAATTGAGTCTAGTGCTCGGTAGTCCAATAATTCTGTGAGGCAGTCACAAAAAAATGCAACCGTTTTTGCAGGCGCATGCAAGAGTCAAACATGCCCGCTGCATTGTCACTAATGTGAGACAGTGCCTTCGTGGTGGTTGTTGGATGCATACATGAGAAACCATGGAATTTAGACGCTATTACATTTACTTGCCAAACAATACTGAAAAAAACACAAAAGTGACATACCCATGGCCGATCCCCCGACACTGGACACATACAGAGTTACATCTTCCAGCAGGTCTCCACTGCTGGGTGCGAGTTCCACTGTGACTTGGAAGGAGCTAATGTTCTCTTGTACTGCGTATACTGTTTCCACAAGCTGATAGTACACAGCTGCAAGTAAATATCAAACTTGACAGTCACCTAATGCTTGTTGAAAACTTAGCATACCTTCATTGTATGCTCTCTAGCTGCCATCATTAACAGAGACTAAGACTAATTCATAACCTATCCTCTTTCTGTCCCGAAATGCTAACCTTCATTGCTGTGTATGAGAAGAGTGGCAGGAGATCCAGTAAAAGATACCCCGGCAGTGAGTCCAGTGACAACAACGGAGAGTGTCTCTGGGTCCTCCACAAGCTCATCCTCTAGCGTCATGACTGGAAGGCACACTTGAGTCTCAGCTATTCCAGAGCCAATCTGGAACTCTTGACTTGCAGCAATGTAGTCTGAACCGCCTGAAATCGCAAACAGTAAGAAATGGTGACACATAGCTAAACAGTGTCGAATGTCTCACCAGTTGCTGTGGATCCAACCCCAGTAGTTGAAAGAGTGATGTTAGCAGTCTCTGAGAGTCTATCTAGTCTTGTGAGGGAAAGACATGCCTGGGCTGTCTGACCCTCCAAAACAACTGGTGGCATAAGTGACAGCACAGCTCTTGGCCCTGCAAGTTTTTTTAGAGCTAGGCTACACACTGAGTAAAAATATGGTGACCGCAAACCTTCGTTTATACACACAGTGGCAATACTTGGAGACAAATTGAGACCAGAGGCTGTCGAAGAAAACCTGACTACGAAACACTCCATATCAGGTTCCTCTACAACATCAGCCACAATAGATATCGACAGGCAGTCTGAAGTTTGTGCCTCTGATATTGTAAGAGATCCACTTTGCATCACATAGTCCAATGGAGCTATGTGGGAAATCAAAGGCAGCAGTGTTATACATCACGAAAGGAGGCTCAAAGGCAGTTTGACCTTCAGCAAGGCCATTGATAGTGTTGTAGTCAATAATGAAGGTACTGCCAGTTATATCTCCAGAGAGAAGACCAAGGCAAATCTCTACTGGTCCTTCTCCTTCCACAGTCATGTAGTACGACTGCTGAAGTCCGACAGTCACTCCTGTATACAGGTAAATTATGACCGGAGCTTATTGCATACTTACAACAGTAGTGCAACTAGACAATAGTGTACGAATTTATATACCTTCTTGTTGGTCACTGATGCAGATGGTGGCAGATGTAGGACTGAGAGTGAGGCCAGGAGCAGTGGAAGTGGTTGATATGGTGAATGTGAAGCATTCCTCGTCAGTTTCAGTGACACTGTCTGATATTATTGATATTGGAATACACTGGACTGTGTTGGTGTCTGTCATGTCAAAGTTTCCACTGACTGCTGTGTAATCGTCTGAAGCTGTGGCATTGTACATAATGATATCTATTGAAACAAACCAGAAAAAGATTTACCAATGGCATTGCCATTTGATGTTTGATAGGCAGTAATGATTGTCCTTCCAGCAGTGTCACCAGATAGAACAGCTGTACACACTATGACAAACCTATCATCTTCCACAACTTCATATGATATATCCTGCAATCCAACTGTCACCTGAGTGGCTTTGTGATAAAGAATAATATGTGATCATAAATTGCTTTAACCAAATATGTTGCTGGTGTGTCTTTTTAAACCTACCATCGTCATCAAAGATGCAAATTGTAGCACTAGCTGTAGATAACACAACATCTTCCAGTGCCATGCTTGTGATTGTAAATACAAAACACTCTTGTTCCTGCTCATCTTCATTGTCATTTTCAATTGATATGTTGACACACTGCACAGAGTTGTATTCAGTGAGCTGTAGAGTTCCCCTAGTGCTGGCAAAGTCACCAGGAGCTGGGTAAAAGAGGTTTTAATACTTTTGAGAGGTAGCTATACCAGTAATATTGTTTGACCTGGAATAGGTTTGCCTCCAAGAAAATCATTTGTGTATAGCTGTTTCATAGGGTTATATGAAGACAATAAGTAAATAAAGAGAGACTACATGTCATCCGTTTTGGCTTTAAGTAACCCTTGTGTGCTTGCCTAAATTTGATAATTAGTACACAAAAAACCACCTGTAATAATGCTGGCATACCTTTTGCAGATCCGTCAATGGTCATGAAGTCAACTAAGATATTCCTGCCATTTATATCACCAGATACAGCTTCAACACATATCTGTTTAGGCCCATCATTTTCCTTAGCTGAGTAGAATCCTTGCTCTATACCAACAATGACTGAGGTGTCTCCATCTACAGATTAGAAACAAATGAACACAACATCAATTTTGGCATTTGCTATACCATCTGCAGAAGTGACACACACAGTGGCTACATCAGGACTGATGGTGAGGCCAGTGACAGTGGTGGTGGGAGAGAGAGTGAGAGTGAGACAAGACTCATCAGTGGAGCCAGCACTGACAGATGAGACTGACACTGCCACACATTGTATGGTGGCATCATCAGTGAACAGCAGAGTTCCATTCTGAGTCATAGCACCATCTGGTATAATACGTATAAGTAAGACTGCAACACGACTCGAGACTTTGTAACAATACCTGAATCCTCAACAACAAAGTCAATCTCAATATCTCTCCCAGCCACATCTCCTGACTGAACCTCAGCACACACAAACTGATAGTCCTCAGGCTCTATAACTGAGTACTCTGTCATCTGAAGACCGATACTGACTGGAGTGACTGTTGGTGCTAAAAAGAGAATACAAAACATTTGATGAAGTGATAGGTAGCTACAAGAGGAATAGGCCTAACCATCTCTGATGCAGACAGTGGCCACACTGGGAGACTGGAGGGTGAAGTCAGAGGAAGAGGAGGAAAAGCTGACCAGGAAACACTCTTCCCCTTCCTCCACTGAATCAATCACAGTAGAGACTGAGACACACTGGGAAGTCTGTGACTCTGATATCTCAACCGATCCACTCACTGCCACATAGTCACTAGGAGCTTTGAAATTTGATTTGTAAGAGTTTTGAACATGGGTGAAATTTTCAGAGTTTTGAACATAGCAGCAATAGTTACCTTCTGCTTGAGCATCAGCAGTGGTGTAGTTAATGGTGAAATTGCTTCCACTGAAGTCGCCGAATACAGCTGAAACACAGATCTCCACTAGTCCTTCACCTTCCAGTGTGGAGTAAAACGACTGCTTCAGTCCAATAGTTACTGGCTCAAGGCCAACTGCGGCAAAAGGTGAAAACCGTAAATTATTGTTACACAAAATAGAGATTGTCAATATACCTTCTTCTGGTTCTCTAATACAGATGGTGGCAGTGGTCGGGCTAACAATTAGGCCAGGAGAAGTGGAAGTGGTTGATATGGTGAATGTGAAGCATTCCTCGTCAGTTTCAGTGACACTGTCTGATATGATTGATATTGGAATACACTGGACTGTGTTGGTGTCTGTCATGTCAAAGTTTCCACTGGCTGCTATGTAGTCACTTGAAGCTTAGAACATATACCATATTCCATTATAATACCACTGTGTGCAATTTATATGTACCTTGAGCATCACCGTCAGTAGTTTGGTAGTTGATATCTATTGATCTACCAGCAGTGCTTCCAGAGATAACTGCTGTACAGACCAAAGCAAAGCTGTCTTCTTCCTGTACTGAATATATTGTCTGACTCAGTCCCATAGTCACATCAGTAGCTGTAATAAGAGCATACATAGCAATTTATGTTTGTGAAAAACTGTGATACTATGTAGGTGGACATGTAGGTAAGTAATGTTGATGTGCTTCACATTAATGTATACCATCATTATCAGTGATGCAGATGGTAGCTTGTGATGTTCCCAATGACACTCCTTCCAAGGCAGTAACGACAGAGACAGTGAAGGCAAAACATTCACTGTCCTCCTCATCGTCAATGTCATCAATGATTGCGATGCTGACACATTGGACTGGATTATCGTCAGTGACAGTCAGTGTACCACTGGTGGTAGTAAAGTCAGCAGGAGCTGGAGAATAGCACAACATTTGGTTTAGCCTATGACAAGTGTCTCTAATAAGATATGTCACTATAAGACACAAATTAAAACCAGCGTACATAGCACCTAGTCTCGTACCAAGCCGCTCCACCCACAACGGGGAAGGGAGCTATTGATACAAAACCTGATCCTGAAGACATCATACCGTAGTATCCGAACTGACATTCAAGTATGTGATGCATATGGGCTCTGCCTTTCAAAGTGAAGGGACTACGGATACACAGAAGCTGATTGGCCACCCGCTTTGCAATCCGATTTGAGCTACTGTTTTTGAGTCGTTTTTGAGATCTAGGATCAACAAATGTATCACTGGTTACTCTACGTGAAGAGTGGGGAGGGGCTCCTCCACTACTCTAAAAGATTTGGTTAAAAGTTAGAACCTGCTGCAGCTCCATCAACTGTAGAATAAGTTAACGATGCAG